CTTATAGTGTAGTGTATTATTTAAGCAAATTGTAATAAATCGCTTGCAAGTCGTTCAAATTTTACAGTCGATTTTCTCGCAAACGAAACCGCAAATGAGAAAATGTTATACCTAAATATTTTCTTCTTTTTTAACGTACAATCACCTTCTGCCCGATTACACTACAATTTATGGCCCACCCCACATATCATGAGGAAAGTTTGTGTGTAAAGAAATTCGAGTTACATAGCGTCCATGGGGTATAACTAGTAAGAATATGATTTTGCATATAAGATGTATGTGTATAAAATGATCTCTCGGAGTAAAATGATTCATGGCTGCCTTACAGTTATTAGTGGTGCTATTTTATAATATCGATGTATAATAGTTGTTTTCCTATGTGTCATCACTTGTCCGAAGTATCATGTGTATATTAGCGTTCTCTGTATCTTGTACAAAAGAAAATGAAAAATTGTTGCATTTCATTTAAGGTGAAGCGTTCATTAATGACGTATAAAGCTTGTCATAATTGGTTAAACGTGATAGATGTTTTATTCTCAAATTTTGATCGCATTTCAACAATAATTTAATTATTGTTTCACTACCGCATGTTATTAATTGTGGGTTACATATTATATTAAATATTAAATATGAGCCGGATTCATATAATCTATTTACAGCGGAGCATAGTTATACCCATACAGTATATAATTGAAAGGTTCGACAGTTTTTGAAGCGAATCTCATTTTTCATTTTTATTGGAAATACGTCATAATTAAATAAGACTTTGATTGAATTTTAAAGATATTTAAAATTTCTAACTGTACGAGAAACAATCTACCCAGGATTTCGTGAATCTCCAAAATACATACAAATTTCCTTCGTGAAGGGAATGTGAGTTAGCTAATCATCCTTAGATTCGGCTTTCAACCCCAAAGCCCACCCTTTTTAAAATCGGCACAAGCTTCCTGGTATTCAAATATCAATCCTTACTTTTTTCGAAACAAAAATGTATCTGAGCATTGTACAGAAACAACTATCTGAGTTTGCTGATCACCCTTACACTGGACTTCGAATCCCAAAATACCGCTCCTAATCGATAAAAGCATCAAGTTCCAATTATACATGTAGTAACGTTTCTGAAATTTTTTAATGTAAAAATGCACTTAGACATTCTTCAGTAAGGTTATCTGAATCAGTTCACTATTTTCAGATTATACTTCCATCCCCTGAAAACCATCCCTCGGCGATAGAGGAACCCAGTTCCAGATATAAGAGTAACAAATCTCATGATATTGTTCACATGCAATAATGCACCTATTTAATCTTTAGCAAGCTTATATAAGTTATTCATATTATTACACTTTGACTCTTAACAAACTACCCCTTACCAATAGAAAAACCATGTTCTAGTTACAGTCAGTCTACCTTTCAAAGTCTTTTGAAGTGGAAAAATGACACACGTAAGAGACGGGAGTCAACAAACTGTAACAGGGCCATGACAGGTAGTTTTCACTATCCTCTATATCGCAGAAAACTGACGTATGCTCAACGTGAAATTTTTTTAAAAGTAATGTCTCATCATAAGCTATCATTTGACACAAGAATCGATTCCAATGGTGAGAATGGAAAAGTGTATAAAACGTCCCCTTATTTTGCAAACCTTTTATTTGCATTTTTGATTATCGCTTATCAATATTTTTGACTTACAGTATGTGTTCAACATTTGATTTTCGCAGATTCAATAAATTCTATTTTTCATATGTAAATTCCACACAATACTTTGCAGTGTAGTCTCATCAGGAATCAGAAGCTTTTAATTATATTATTCATAAATCGGTGATTAAATTATAAATAATTGAACTGAGATTAAAATAAAATTATAATTGTTAATTGAATATTTTTTAATTAAAAATTAAATCTAATTTGGAATTCAATAATATCAAATCGAATATTAAAAACTTCTCTACTAATTATGTTTCGTTTGAGTGAAAATTAATTTTAGTTTCTGTTTGTTCTTCAAATTAAAAAAAAAACACCGAAATAAGTCTGAGCTATTTTGCAGAAGAAAGTTCGAGTGAATATAACAACTTTTGTCGTATTTTTAAAAATGTGACCTCACCCTGAATTTACGAAATAAAAATTTACTTACAATTTTCTCGATTGGAAAAATAATTCTTTAATCTAATAAAAATACATTAAAAATATTAATACTGATAAAAATGGCGGAAAAAATAGCTTAATAACATGAATAGTTTCCGAGAGAAAAATTCACATAACCCATTTTGACGAAATTGGTTTAAAATCGTTTTAAAATCTATCATTTCTGAAACTGTGTCCAAACGAGCGAAATATTGGCTCAAATCTGATTTCACGTGAACTACGTTATACGTCATTTCGAACAAAATTTGAAATGTCGAAGAAGAATATTTGTCATAATTACAATTACAAATTTATGCAACTTCTATTTATTTTTTACTATAATTTTCTATTTACTTATTTGGAAAGATCTTTTAGTTTTAAATTCTACTGTCTTCTACGCTTTGAAATATGAATGAATAATTACAAGACACCCTGTACACAGCTTAAATCAATAACTGCTGTCATGTCAAATATTGCCATCTATTAAATATTGCTGATATTACAGAAAAATTTGTTAAATGAAAAAGGGTAATTGATAAAAAGGAGACATGACATCAACAGTTTCTTTTGAGTGGATCTGTGAACATTATTTTTAAATGAAAATTGGTATAATATAATATAAATAATACAACTAAAAAGAACAATTCAAATAATATATGTAAATAATGTATTTCAAAATATAACGAGAGGTTAGTATAACAAAATTATATTAGAAGTTTTATCTTTGAGAGAAATGCAATTGAAAATTAATTAATTATAATTAAAAATTAATTTAATATGTGTATATGGATATTTTCATTATGTACCTCTGCTAAATCACAGCGGATGCAATAAATGATAAGGTGAAATGGGGTAAGTTCGTAAAGTGCGTATACAGGCTATTTTTATTAAAATATGAGCGAAATTTCTCCATTTAGTATGTTTGTTTCCTGGCTTTAATGCGTATACAGGCTATTTTTATTACAATATGAGCGAAATTTCTCCATTTAGTATGTTTGTTTCCTGGCTTTGTTTCACTATATCCTCTTTTATATTTCAGTTAAGAGTACCTGTTTGCAGTACAGAATACTTGCATAATGCAGTAAAAAGCATTTTATAGCAGATTTCTTAATAATTCTGCTCTTGCCCCATTGCACATAAAATAAAGTTTCAATTTAACTTCAAATTACGCTCTTGCCCCATTTTCGGAAAAAGTGTAGAGTAGTTGACATTTTAAACAATTTCCTATCAAAATCAAAATGTACAAGGAAAATTAAGCTCCTAGTTAATATTAATTAAATAGTAGTAATTGTGCAAAGCGTTCGATATCGAGCAGACTGAAAATACTTACGTTTAAATACCAACTTTACAAAAACCAGTCTGCACTTACCCCACTTCACCTTACTAATAAATTAAATATTATAGTTTAAATTAAATTTAGTCTATTATGTATTAGCTCGGTTTGTTTTAATTTACATAGTGTATAAAATGTTGATTGTTCTTCCACGTACAATATTTATTATATTCTGCTTTTATTATTCTGTTTATTCTGTTTTTTACTATTATTCTGCTATTTATAATATTCTTTGTCATATTCTGCAAATTAAATCAAAATAAACTGTTTGCACTTTTACTTCTTCATGTAAAAGAGTAATTCTTCGTTTCAATTATTTAAAGCTTTTAACATTTTAGGAATAAGTTATTTACTTTGTGTGCCCCGACATGTCAGTAACATAAGTGATAGTAAACAGTGCGTGATAAAATATCCTGCACAAAGATAATCATAGTCATGACGCATAGTAAAATCCATAACATGTCTTCAGTTAGATATACGCGTACTACATTCATTTTCAAATGCATTTTATTCGTATACGAAGTCTTCAACGCAATTTTTTAACTGACTTCGAAAAAGGAGGAGGTTACTCAATTCGATCAGTATATATATTTTTTTTTTTTTCTTATTCCTGATTTTTGTGTTGTTTTAAGCCATTTCCCTGACCCCATTTTAACCACGAATCTTGGCACACTCTGCACTTCTTTTTAAGTAGCTAGATTTTACGTAAAAATGTATTAGCATATATTTAATATTAAAATAATTAACGATTAATAAAACTTTCAAAATTTTCTCATAAAATATCACATTTTTTTATTTAAAATATCTCCTAAACTTTAGCTTTTTTTTGACATTATATCTTAATCAATTTTTGTGAAGAATATTCCATATCTCTATAAAACTGAATATATGATTCTACTTGAGAAAACCCAGGATGATCTTGATTTTAAATGATTATAAAAACAATATTAATATAAACTTATTTGAATTAATTAGCTCAAGTTAATTAATTAAAATTATTATTATTGATATTTGTTGTACAGTTGACTAATGAATTTTCGTTCAAAACTTTTTTTTTACATGAATCCAAAAGTCGTGCATCATGAAACAGCCTGAATACATATATTATTCAAATATTTATTTAAATAGAAATATCTCACAAACTACTTCCTTTTCAGCACACATGTATCAGAATTTTTTTATAAAAAACGTCTAGCTACATTTTTAGATGTATAAAAAATACCTTATTCGATTACAAAGAAAGTTTGTCTTCATATATCCTTGAAACGTCCACTTTTATTAAATCTCCTATGCAACATTGTTTTCTACGCAAAATACAGCTGGCAAATCAAAATATCAAAATCGACTGCGACACCATTTATTGACAATAGAAAATTTATATCGATACATGTAAATATTTCCATTATTGGTCACTGTGTGAGAAAAACTCCAAAATGCAAAATTATATTATTTTACGGAACACGTATAATAGTCAATCATAATAGGCATCATCTCTCCAGGTCAATTCTTTAAAAATTTTTATATCATCGTCATTTTATAAAATGAAATGATATACAGGGTTTGTCCAATAAGTATCCGGACTGATTTTTTTCTGCTAGTTTGGTAGGTCAGGGAGCAATCTCTATTAGCTAGATCGATTAGCTAGATCAGGGAGCAATCTCTATTAGCTAGATCGATGCGGAAAGTTGTTATGTATAATAAAAATCTAGGTTCATTTGTTTTCCACCATTTGTTTCGTTTATATCGTGCTTGAAGTGGAAGCGTATTTAACGTTCGCGTCGAGAATCAAAATGCAACGAAACATCGAGCAGCGTTGTGCGATTAAATTTTGCGTTAAGCTAAATAAATCTGCTACGGAGACATTTAATATAATTCGTCAGTAATAAATCTGCTACGGAGACATTTAATATGATTCGTCAGGCCTACAAGGATGATTCCATGTCCAGAACGAGTGTTTTTGAGTGGCACAAAAATTTCAAAGATGGCCGTGAAGACGTTGAAGACGAGCAACGCGTTGGACGACCGTCGTCGTCCCGATCCGATACGAATGCCGACAAAGTGCGGGAAAGTTTGAATTCCGATCGCCGTTTAAGCATTCGTTTAATTGCACAGGAATTAAATTTAACGAAATCCACTATTCATTCTATCGTAACCGAGGATTTGCAAATGCGAAAAGTGTTCGCTAAATTGGTTCCGAAAGTTTTAACAGAGGAACAGAAAGAACGCCGTGTGACGATTTCTCGTGAACTTTTAGAATGTTTGGAGAGGGATTCAAATCTCTTAGACAGAGTGATTACCGGTGACGAAACATGGATTTTTGAATACGATCCGGAGTCAAAAATGCAAAGTGCTGAGTGGCACACAAGCGGCTCTCCTCGACCGAAAAAGGCTCGCATGAGCAAGTCAAGGATAAAATCGATGCTTATTGTCTTCTTTGACGCAAAAGGTGTTATCCACAAGGAGTTTGTGCCTGCTGGACAAACAGTGAATGGCCAATTTTACGCAGAAGTGCTCGAACGTTTGAGACTTAAAGTACGCCGCGTACGAAGGGAGATCGCGAATTCCTGGATGCTCCATCACGACAACGCGCCAAGTCACACGTCGTTAATTGTGAGACAGATACTGACGAAGCATAACATCACAACACTACCCCAACCACCCTACAGTCCAGATATGGCACCCTCTGATTTTTTTCTGTTCCCTCGCATTAAAAGAAGCCTTAAAGGACATCGTTTCGGGACGATTGAGGCGGTTCAAGCGGCTTCGACGGAGTGCCTGAACAGTCTTATGCTTGCCGACTTCCAGGAAGCGTATAAATAATGGAAAACCCGCTGGCAACGGTGTATTAATGCAGGAGGGGCATACTTTGAAGATTATTAACTCAGTGTACGTATATCTTCAACGCACTTCATTTTAGGACATCAATCCGGATACTTATTCGACAAACCATGTACTTTCTTTATGTAGGTTAACAATGTGAAATATTTTGTATAAGAAAATATTATCGTATAATGTTAAAAAAATTAATATTTTAAATTCAAAAAATAGAACATTTTCTAAAAGAATTTGAAATATATTACAAACTATAACACTTTCACGTGATAGTCTAACATATTTTTGCTTTGAATGCTTGCAAAAATCGATTTATCTAAAAGATATGCAAAAAATAATTGATCCATACAAGAAAGTACATTTAGACTTCTTTTTTTAACAGAATTGTATGTTTGTCACTATATGGATAGATTTTTTGAAATATTTTATGTTAGGAACTACTAGAGTATAGTATCAAAGAAATTAATGCTAGTGAAACATTATTTTTGGAACTAAATAATTACTATGAAAATTTCAAATATATGACGAATTATTGGCTTGTAATATTATTTAATGTAATTATTGTAATATTGTATTACTAATAGTATTTAGTTTTACGTAAATGTTTTATTGAATCGATCCATGCAAAAACGTACATATACGGTGCAATTTTGAAAAATGGCAGTAATTTGATAGTCTTTAAAATGTTACTTTGAGAAAAGAATGTCTCTGTTATTCTATGTACGCCTTAAAATACCATAGGTTTGCCTTTAAAACATTTCGAGAAAAAGCTGTACTCGCAGTAAAAACTCTTATTTGCTAAAGAAAGTTTAATAAAATGCCATCAGACATAAAAATACACGCTTTAAAAAGTATCTTCACTATGAAACATTTATTGTACTTGTGAAAAATGTTATGGATGAAGCTCAAAAAGAGTTTACTAAAACAATCCGCCTACAAAGCTTTGTCCATAGCAACGAAACATTTGATTATACTAATTTGTTTCGCGAATAAAAGCAAGCATAACATTTTGCAAAAAAGACGAATTACATAAGCATCCAAAACAGGTTTCAAAAAATTCATTTTTGTACTGTCAAACACGTAAACTAACATAAAAATATTATTTAGCTTAATATTTTAAAAAGCAGTATTTAAAACAAAATTGAACTTCGTCCCAAATAAGCGAATTATTTATACCATTTACCGCAGTTAAGAGTCTATAACTAAAAATTTATTTATATATACCAAAAGCCAAAATTGATTTTTACGCTGCAAATATTTATGTAATGTAATTTATAGAATGCAAGTATTACATTGTGTATAAACATTTAACGTGTTGACTTTAACATGTATTGACTTTAATTAAATCTGCGGTATTAGTTATTGATTATATTGACCATTAGAAATTAAATAGTTTGATACCTTTAAGGTCAAAGGTGTCAGTAATTCATCAGTTTCCAAAAAACACAAAAAGAAGATTTATATAAGTTATCCACTTTTGATGAACGTAAACTTCAGATGCTGCGATGACATGTAAACACATGACAGAGAGAAAATATTTTAGTTAACCAGTTAACTGTGGCGATCTTTTTGCAAAGCGCGCACCAGTGTGTGTCGTGATAATCAAGCGATGACAAGTTGTCTCTCAAGAATTTATGAATCCGTCTCAAATCATTTACATTTTTTATTTATTTATTTCATTTCGTATTGACCTCTAAACATTTTAAACATATTACAATTTACGAATATAATTTAGTTTACGCCAAAACTATAATTTAAATATAAAATTGTAACAAAATTTTACGCATGACGGATATAGTCGTCAAACACACTTAACTGGTTAAAGAAAGTATTACAAAAAAGGCAAAAATTCATACTCTTTTATACCACATAAGCTAAAGATAACAGTACTTAGTACTTGACCATGTGCTAATAGTTGACCAATTTTTAAAAAACAGAGAAATAAGGTTCTAATTAGTTGTACACTCGAGATGAATGTGAACTTCAGGTGCCACGATATCTATCAGTTAAATTTGAAAATAATTTCACGCGAAGTGAAGTTTGTTTACTACTAACGAACATCTGAATTTATTAATGTAAGAAATATGCCGTTATATTTCTATTTCCTTAACGTTTTTGTTAAGAATAGCTGTACAATTCAGGTCAAAAGGTTCATAGGTTGTGAACATTTCGCGAATGAAATATATTTCTTCTACTATCAGTCTCACTACTAACGAACAGAGAGTCAATTACTATTTCTTTAATTTTTAAGAGTAGTCAACTTCTAAAGTATGTACTGAATTTTTAAATATACTTTTCAAATTTGCATATCTCAACTCTTTGTAATAAATGGTCTTGTTGCATAATTCAGAAGGCTTAAGAAATGTCCGGGCATCGATTCTCGCTATTTAATGACAAAACAAGCGATTACAATTGTTCATGTTAAAAATTTCTTTTACCTGGTCAACTGCTGATGTCATTATATTAAGCCCAATAATTTGAGACAACAGAACCACGTTATCAAAACGTACGCGACAAACAAAACAACCAACAGAGCTGAGAACTACTGTTATCATCGCGTGTCGCGTGTTCTGTCTTTACAAAAAACACAGATAGGTACACATAGCAAAGACAGTGTTCTTGATTATGATGGTCATATTATACTACTCTGTTTGCTTTGTGGTTCCGTTGTCGTATACTACGATAAATTATTAGGTTTGTATGTTATAAAGATATGATTGTTTACTTTTCTTTGATACTTTCCTTAATACAAATGTTTTCACTATCGCGTGCTATGATTGCATATTTCCTCACGTTCTTAACTTTTGAAATAAATTGAAAAATATTAGTAGCAACTAATGCGTTTGGCTTATAAATCAAGCTACGAATATCACTAAAGTTATTAGTAATTCTTCGTTACATATTGATGCTGGTACTAACCTACAGTAATGAATTTATTCAATGACAAAACTAATATGTGTTACAAGTAATAAAAATAAACATATTAATAATTACATTTATGAATTTATATTTGATGAGTGTATAATGAGCGAATAATTTGTTGTTTCTGTCATTTTCTGCGTTGTAAAGAAACTTTTTTAATAAAAAAAAAACATATGGATAACAATTAAATCTTGTAATGGTAAAATGATAGAAACATGCATAAAACAATCTTCAAAGGAAGGATAGAAACATTTTTTATTCTTTCACATAACAAGTACTCCCAAATACACTATCGAGAACTTTAAGCCACCATCGACCTGAAGTGCCACTATTGTTAAACACGGGCGAGCTAACAGCTACTCAAATATCGATAACTTTACACCCAGATAATATCATATCTATGTATATACCACTACGTATTACTAACTGAATACCTTATACCGTTATCGATTTACAGCAACAGATTAGCTCTCAAACTAGTTACGTTTCATTAAAAGAGAATGCAAAATTGAACTTATTAAAAATAAATAGAAAATTCATTTATTTAATGTACGCACAATAAATTTCTAAAAAATGTTCTATGTTTATTTTTCTCAATTTCTTTTTTGTGCTACTTCTTACGCTGCAAGGTTCCTTTTGTTCATTATATTTATCTTGTTTATTTATTACTATGATACAAATTCCTTGTCATTTTTCGTTATTTTTTGTGATTTCTTAGGAATTATAATTATAATTGTTACTTCTGTGAATGATTAAATAACACTAATTATTCTTGCTTTAGTTTGGACCCATTTTCTTCTTTTAATAATAATCTTATTAAAATTCGTGTGCCTTTACTAAGAGGTAGAAATTAGGTACACAACAAACAATATTGTTTGAAGTAACAACGTACGTTTATTTCAACGTTTTATTACTTAATTATGCCTATAAACTACAGAATACATTTGGGTGCATGTGTTTCAGCATACTAAAACGCTTATTTCGAAATTTTGGCAAACATACATCTTTCATTTTCACGTACCAATAATAATTTGATTTCATGCTGCTGTTTCCAATGAGGAACGGTTATGTTAATCTAGATGATATAACTATGGTTGATTCTTGCTTCTACACTTTTGACAGTGAAAGTAAAATTATAGGATTTATGTTGCTTTTAAATTTATGTCAGTTGGAGCCAGTAAAAATATACCTTTAATTAATTTTCTTTAAATGTAATCAAGACTGAAATCGTTTTACAAAAAACGATTACTAACAAAAATTAGCATAATTTTTAAAATATGTATCTTTATGTTAGTCAATAACATTCGTATACAAACTTTATATTAAAGTGATAGGCTTGCATTTGGAAAGCATTCTATTAGTTTTGTAATACGTTTAATATTTATTGACTCATTAAATTGAACAATCTGCCAGAAATATAATTACAAAATACCTTTTCAGTTGTAACTAAAAAAATGTTGGTATTCATTCCAATATGCAGCTTTTTTCTAATTTTATACTTAATTCTGTAATTCTGCGATTTTTCCAAAATAACTAACTTTGGAGTTGTACTGTTCTTGAACTTACTGATTCATTCGCAATTAGAACAAAAAAACGGAACTCCTTTCTGTAAGGAAAAATATCATAAAGTATTAATAAGATTATAATTCGGAGTTGTCATTTACATACTCTACAAAATAATTAATTTTTAAAAGGTACATTGTTTTCGCATTAAGTAAAATTGAGGTATGAATTAATCATCTAAAATATTAAATGTCAAAGAAATTATCAAACTAAAGTGAAATATAATCAAAGAAATGACTAAGGAAAAAAATTGTGAGGCACGCAAATATTCATTTTCGATCTTTCCTGTTATTCGAGCTCTTAAAAAAATAATGTGTATACCTCAAATAATATATGTTTAATTTATGGAGAAGTTTAAATATCATCTACATACTTTCTTAATTTATTGCAAAAAGTATTAATCCGATTTATTCGTCAGGTGCGTTAGTCCTAACCAGTTATTTGCAGCTACAATACTTTACATATAAATAGTAACACCATTTTGCAGCATCATATCAATTATAATCAGATTAGAGTTATAACCGAAAATGCAGAATTTGCGATATAACTTTCATATTCGCTTATTTCTC